TGGTTGTTGTCGTTGATGGTCTAATTGTGGTTGTTGTCGTTGATGGTCTGATTGTGGTTGTTGTCGTCGATGGTCTGATTGTGGTTGTTGTCGTTGACGGGATGGTTGTGGTTGTTGTCGTTGATGGTCTGATTGTGGTTGTTGTCGTTGATGGTCTGATTGTGGTTGTTGTCGTTGATGGTCTAATTGTGGTTGTTGTCGTTGATGGTCTGATTGTGGTTGTTGTCGTCGATGGTCTGATTGTGGTTGTTGTCGTTGACGGGATGGTTGTGGTTGTTGTCGTCGATGGCCTGCTTGTTGTTGAAGAAGCTGTCAGCGTGGTTGTTGGAGCTTGATGTTAAAAACAAAGCAGTATAATGTTGTCACTACGTGCATGAAAGGAATCTTTGTCGGATATAGGCATATTAGCCAATGTGTTTCGAAGATCATAACCCACTCTCAGGCGCTCAAAAATACTTGAATCAATCAGTCATAGTTTTATCCTATAGAATAAGGTTTGCAATACTCAGTCATGAAAAGATGCTCATTTTAGATGAAGTTCAATAAGTAAATAAACACTGATAGTTGGAAGTTTTCTGGCATGCGAAGTTAACAATGAGATAAAGTCTTTTTACGAGATATATGAACACAATAGCTTCTGTTCAATGTTAGACAGTATCTTCTCAGTACTAATTTTAAGAAACCCTTTCACATGTTGCTATATGAAACCGAAAACTGCATTGCCATAATGATGATCCTAGACATCATGCCGTTAGATTTTGACTTAGATTCTGAAGTAAAGAGCGGCATCGGACATTTATATTACTTACAGAAATATTGCTCACATTTGATTTAAATTATGTACGTCCTGTGAACAGTCAATTTTGTTCTTTGAATCGTCTCTTTCCGAAACAACGTTCATACCAATTGAAGTATCAGTTTCATAAAAGAAATAGGGTATAGAGTAGGGGATCAAGACCTCCAGTAACTCGATAGATTCTGGTGGCAATTCAATCATATTCGAAAGAATGAAAGAAAATTTGTTTCATTGTCTTAAATTTGATTGACCTGGCATCAAAATCAAATGAGTTTAGTGTGATCCCTCCGTCAATGAGAGTATGCTACGAGTAGTGAACCAGTCCCCCTATTGAAGTCCAAAAAAAACGATGAAAGTAGGAATGAGATGTCTTAATAAGTTTTGCGAGCAAAGTTTTCAAAGATTGTTGTTTGCACTATCTTCCTCATAAAAAAGTTTTCGTCAAATGAATCATTCTAGTCTTGATTCTGCATAAGTGTATTATACTGGACATTGTATATAAATACCTTCAATATCAAATATTCTGTAATAAAGGCAGTCTAATGGCACTATTCTAGGACGATTTCGTCATTTGCCAAGCACTGAAGCCTAAAAACTTACTTGTAGTGGTATTTGAAATTCTTGTCGTTAATGGAGGACATCGTCGAGAAAAAGCACGCTCAATTGGATAACAAACGGGAACGTTGCATCGAGTATTATTGACACACACGGTATTGGGTACAGAACATGACTTATTATCATTTCCACACAAAGTCAAATTATTGCATGATACCACCGTATCAGCACACACTCCACTAGCAGTCATTGTCATAAACAAACATGCGCAATCAGCATTTGTCGAACATGGCACTGGCTTAGCTTCATACTCTTTCGATGCACAGCATCCACAACCAGAAGACCCAAAGTTCATCGGATCTTGCCCTAAAATCAGTTTTATAGTAAGGAAAGTTCTATAAAATCATTCAATATGATGATCAGCGGAGAGAAGGATCGCGATTGAAAAGTTCGAAATTTTCACTTGCTTTTTTAACTTCCAGTCAACATTTACGAGCTCTTCTCAAGCCAATATCAAGAGAAAGCCTCAATATTTTGACGTATATTTTTCGACTTTGACTTTCCGATAACAAAGTTCCTAAGCACTTCTTGCTAACTTTACAAAACACAAGACGAGGAAACTCGTTGTTATCGTGTGTTCTACATGAATCCTGAGACATGATTTCACAAGACAACATATTTAATTGTCCTCTACGAAAACGAAATGAGGCCTACCCTATCTTCGAAAAGTTTCCACTAATCACAAATATCGATATCTTATCTGTCATGGTTGAAAACCTAAGAAATCACCAACACGCCTCATGTAATTGTGCTGTAAGATGAATATTTCCATGAAAAATCAGGTATATTACAGTTAACTGAAAAATAATGTGTTTTGTACGGAATTACTTTTTGATGGTTTTTGATAGAAATTTTCTAATTGAATACTAAAACGACGGAGTTAAGATGCAAATGCCAAAACATCAGTACAACTCTGACTATATGAATTGTGTTTCACTTACCTCTGACAACGCAGACAACCAATCTAAAAATGCAATCGTATAACATCATTAGTTTTTAATAACGGAGTAACTCACACTATTACTAAGATCGTATCCAACATTCGTCGCATCGTATTCATTTTAGCAATGTCATCACATAATAACAGCTCTGGCTTTCATTGATCCAAGTTTATACCATTTCTTCATACGCTTCAGCAGAAGAATACAATCAATGATGAATTACGTTTAGTTAAACCCACTTACGGACGTCAATAACGATGTTTACATGACGAACAGAGAGTGAAATGGACCTTATGAAACAATGTTTTCACATTCATTTCACGATCTATATGGTGCATTAAAAAACAAAACAGAGGAGGTAAATAATATTTTAGAAAGCTTTGAAGTGGTTCCTCTGTATACAAAATTATGAAAAATAATGACGAATATAAATAATCTTTCTTTTTCTTTTCAAACCTATTGAAGTGATGTATTTACTGCTCGTATGATTTAGCAACCTTAAAAACTGTTTTTTTTCTTCAATGTTACAATGCAGTAACTAGGGGCGGACTCCATTAAGTAGTCCCCTCGAAAGATAAAATTTTTCATCAAAACATTGAAATGGAGTTCGTGCCGTAGAAAGTTGTATAGAAGCCTGCTGTCTCAAAAGTGACATGACTCACAACAAAGTATTTAGTTTTTCTAGTATTTCTTAAGAGATTACCATGTAAGCTATTAGGTTTTTGAACTATTCATCAAAATTATCTTGTAGCCCTCACTGATATATGCACCGATGTCATTTTGCTGTGTTTTTGTTTTCATTTCCGTTTTTTTTCAAGATGGTGGAATTGCTGATAAAGATTAAATTTTCTTTTACACGAACCTCCACGATGCGACAAAACATTTATTGTGCAAATCTCAGCTTGATCTCATATAGTCATGTCTGAAATCGAACATACCGATCACAATGCAAAAGATTAAGCCTTGGTCAAAGCTTTCTGTGTTATCAAAGGTGATCGAGAATGTGTAGGATCTGAGCTGGAATCCGAAAATGCAGTTCCAGTGTTGGTTGTCTTATCAAGCAGAGCTTCGCGAGAGGATGTGAGTGTCGATGTGACCCAATTCTTCTTCATACGCTTATAACAGAGGTTGAATGGATGCAAGACGAAACATGAATCTGTGGTTTGCAGAACCTGGACATGAAGAGAAGAACTGGTTCGCATGACAGAGTGGAAGTTTCTTAATAGTTTCAGTTTTCCATTAACGAGACTCGGTCAAAACATTATTCAAGATAAACAAAGAAAAATTACTGATTTTTGAATAAAATATGTCAAATAAAGATCTGATCCTTGCCGAATATCCAACAAATTAAACCCTCTGAGAAATACTAATGTAAAAACAAACTATATTTCGGATTATTTTTTATATGCAACCACACGAGAGGATGTACATTATGCTTTTAGACAATGATTCGCAACCCATATTAGATGCCAGTTTTTTTTTCATGAAAAATATTAAGATACATCAAGAGCTGTTGAACTTGAATTGTCCCATTGTTTGTTTTTCCTCAAGCTGTACTTGTAACAGCTCAATTTTTTAGAAAGTTATCCACATAGCTCCATGAAATTGAAAATACTGTGACCAAAGCTGAGCTGCCTAAAACGATACCTACTCATCGATCATTTCTTTGGATGGTTAGTAAATGTTTACAATCGTAATCTTGACAGAGATTCCATGCCATAGATGCTGCATAAAATCTATATAGCATAGATGAAAAATGCTTCACACAGCATTTTAAATTGACAAAGGAACTTCTTCGGGTATAATTGATCATCTTCAAGTTCGATTCTTCTTCATCAGCTTGACCTACATCCAGTAGAATATTATCAATTGATTTTTTGCTGCCTTTTTGTAAACTCTAAGTGATTGATGCCATACTTTGTTCTCTGCTTCAGATTAGCATGAATGGACAAAACGTACTTGAAATATATCTGCGTAAAATCTTCGAATCTACTATTCATTTATTTACCTGCGCCATTCAGAGCGGTATAGTTCCTGAAAACGTTGTTAAAATAAAAAATTTTATCTGAAAGGAATATCGGTGCATAAGCCTAAGTCGTTTATGGCAATGGATGTGCGCTGATGCTCTCCCCGTATACACACAACATCCACACCCACACACCAAACTCACACCCATAATTGTTGATTTAACCGAATAATATTGATTCTAGATTGTTGTGCAAAGCAACTGTAATATTGTCTATCGATGTCGTGTCGTGCTTGAGGTAGGAGAGTACCTATATTGTGACTGAGAAGTGTTCGTAAATGTGAAGGTGATAATAAGTATCATGCGTAAAGCTTTTGTTCACTTCAATAGTCCCAACCTTGAACTAATGAATACGGCGATTAACAAAACATAAAAAGAAAGGAAAATATTGAAATATTTGATTGTGAAAATGCGACTTTTATCAAATACTGTTGTGTACCAATATTCAATTTAAGTAGTTTTCAAGTTGATTCCTACTCTCAGAAATCTTGAATTTATCCTTCACTTTTACGTCTATAAGGGAGAGAAATCTTTCGGTGGAGAACATATCCCTCTTACACTTTCTATCGAAATCGACGCCTCGTTGTTATGAATTTTATTGTCAATGCACGAAGACCACCCTAAGCCGACTGAGACATATCACATTTGGACTGCAGATGGCTTGAATTGATTTAATAGTGATTTGCAATCGTTTTGACCAGTATTCTAAACATTTTCTCTCCTTATAGATTAGAGGGCGACTTTCGATTACCGTTGAAATGAAAGTACTAGACAAGATTTTCTATCTGATACTCAAATATGTCGGTGGAAAATTCACTAAATACATCACCATCTAGACACATTGAATCAAACTAAAACTAGCCTGGAATAGTGGAGAAAATAGTCGTTTTCGGCTGTTTATCTTTTCAGAGATTTCAGAGCGTCCCCTATATTTGAGGAAAACGCTATACTGTTCGAGTTTGAATTTTCCAGTTTTCAAACACATTCGACACTATGTATGTTCAAAACGACTCGTAAGTCGGATAGAGTTGCACAATTCTACAAGAAGGCATCTATCTAAACTTGTCATCGTTACTATTTTCAGCCTATATTTTTTCCAAATCAATATGACATGTAACAGTTTGAAGATCAAGTCCACAAAGCTGAATGGTCGATCCTCTAGTAAAATGTTTCACAGAAAAACATTTTCACAAATTTCTTTGTTCAATGGTGAAGAATCTTGTACGGCCATCAGGTACGCGTTCAAATTGAATGCGTCTGAAACATGGATGATATCCATGAATTACATCAATATCAATTGGATCTCGTTGCATTGTTTCGCAATCGAAACGATACAAATAAGGAACACATCGAACTAGTATACGAGCCAATTGTTTAAAATCGAGTGGTAGACAATTATTTCCACGAGACCAATCGGAAACAATATGCAATCGTTTCAGATTAGGTACATGAAGAAGAATAGTTTCGATTTTTCGAATATTTATCGTTCGAATGTAAAGGCATTTCAGATGAGTATGTCGAACAGGAACAGTGTCAATGTCTGCATCTGTATATCGCATTGTCGACCAATGTAGATGAGTCAAATTTGAACAAGAAATAAGTATAAATGAATACACAGGTAAAGCAAATCCTCCAATAATGAGCGAGTGAAGTGATGGTGAACTCAACCATCGGTGGTTGGGCTCAGGTGGAGTAAGTTCATCCAAAACACATTTATACAAAGATGGAAATCCATTGGAAAAAATCATTTGGAAGAAAGCCGACGCAATACAAGAGTCTTCTATATAGCACATTCGAAGATAGACAAGATGAGCAAAATATTCATGTCGAACTTGTGCCAATTGTTGCTGAGATAGAAAATCGTAAAATTCTAATGAATGAACGTTCGAAAATCGAGTCGCATCGAGATAATCGGGTCGATGAACTTTTAGGTAACCGACACGTCGAGAAAATCGCTCGATGAATGGATCATTAGCATCTGTTAGTGAATTTGGTTGAAAGCTGATATTTGATATAGTGTTTAGAATATTATTTATACGAGAATTCAAATTGTAGAAAGCTCGATAAAATTCAAGACCATCCATGTAGTCAAAGATCGCATAAACGAGTTCATTCGGAAGGCTCTCAAAATGTGTCCAAATATTGCTTATCATGGTAACTGGTTTTTCTACAATAGTATTAATATATGTTCTATTCAAGAATATTCAAAAATAATTTCACTCGAGAGGCTGAGCAGCGCAGCAGCAGTGTCTTTACGTTTTAACTTCTAAGATGATATCGCTAACAAGAAACCAGTTCTTATTAAAAAAAAAACGACAATAGAATTCGAGTTGGCCTGGAATCATCTAGTCAAAATTGAAGTTGGGAATGAATAAAACGAAGGATAAAAATATGGGCATCATGATTATAGTGAGACATGCTACAAATAATATTCGGTAAGAGAGAATAATCTTAATATGGCATTTTAAGTACAACATTTCACTGTAACTAAGCATTTTCAGTCTGATTTAGAAGTGATTGAAAATGATTGTATTCCATAGACAACCTATCATCACACCAATATCCACTAGTAGCTCTCGCAATTGGACTTCATTCGTTAATGACTAGAGTGAACATTTTGTTTTAATTTACAGCCAGTCGTAACTTAAACGTTAAAAAGTTAAATATACGAGATAGCTATAAATTTAATCAGAAAGATCAATGAATCCTTTCGTTTCTTATTCTAAAAACAAAAGTATTTGGAACTAGCTTAACAATGGAATCTTACGTAATCAGTAGCTTGGATTTGGTATTTGTGATGATATGAGGTTTGAATTGTAAAATTTAATTTAATAACTATATGAAAATGGATTTAAAAAATGTTTCATTTCCAGTGCAGATAATTTTATCACTGTTGACATGTACAACAATGATTATCAAACAATATTATAGACATATAATGGCAGAGACATGCTATAAGAAGAAGTTGTTTCAGAACGAAAACAGTAAAAAGTTCAGATAGATATATCTCACACTAAAGTATCTAGACGCCATCGTTATTGCTATTTGCCTCAATATACTTCTGATGTGAATTAAAAAATCTTGATAGATGACACTTGTATCCGCTTGTTTAAAAGCCACAAATATGAATTGTGATAATGTGAATAGTAGGGATAATATATATAGTGCTTGAATTGAAATGTGATATGAACTAGAACAAAATGAAAAGAGAAAACAAGTGAGAAAAAGTGAAATCATAGAAAACAAAAAGTAAGTCTAAAAAACAGGAATGATTATCTGTTGCAATTAATTATAATACCATTGATGATAACACATGACATCAATCATCACATGCTATCTTACATAATATATGAGTAACACATACTAAAATCAATGATGTGTTTTCTTTTATAGTTCAAAATGCAACCCTACCAATTAGAAATAGTTCAAGTATTCTAGTTTAAGGACATATAGACTAAATATTATCAACGAGCCTATTAGAAGATATCCAACATGATACGAAAGGTAGAATGAAATATGTTCTTAGACATCTTAATGTTTCTTATTCATGACATAGGACAAAGTTAGAAATCATGCGTTATCTTTCATTCTAGAAAACTAGCATTAATACTCTTCATACATTTTTGATTCACTGCTGCATGTGTATGATTTATTAAATCACTTCAAGGTTAAACACCAATATACATGCGATCCATGCTCAAGGACCAAAAAAAGCCTTTTAGAGATAGAATCCATTCAATTTGGCTCGGTTTCAAAAATAAACACGAATCGATTCTATCTCGGATAGGAATGCTTTGGGTCGACAATGAGCTTCGAGAAATATTTAGAAAAACGTCACGGTAAAATTACTTTTGGAAGTACAGGGTGGCGCAAAAGTCAGTTTACCCAGAACAAAATTGAATATCTCCATTACGGTTCGAGCAAACGAGCTGATTTTGTTACCAATAATAAAGGTATGTACAAGCTTTATACCCATAAAGACATGCCTAGAGAAAACCCTTTGTTAAGTGTATTGTTTTTTCTCCTATCTGTCAAAAAGTAAAACTTTTTTTGTTGAGATCAATAGTGATAATTAACAAAGAGTCTCGCTAGGCATGTCTTTATGGACATGAAGCTTGACTATGCCTCTATTATCGGTAAAAACATCAGCTCGTTTGCTTGAGCCGTAATGGAGATATTCAATTTTTATTTTGGTAAACTGACTTTGGGGCAACCCTGTATATGGCCCAAAAGTGACGATACCAAGAAAAAACTAAATATCTCCGCTACGGCTTCAGCAAACAGGCTGATTTTTTTACCAATAATAGAAGCATGTTCACACTTTAAATCCATACGGACAACATTAGAGAGAGCCTTTATAAAGTACCACTAATGACCTCAACAAAATAATTTTACTTTTTTCACAGATAGAATAGAAAACAATATATTTAACAAAGGATTTCGCTAGGCATGTCTTTATGGATATAAAGTTTGAACATGCCTCTATCATTGATAAAAGAATCAGTTCGTTAGCTCGAGTTATAGCGGAGATATTCAATTTTTTTCGGCAAAGTGACTTTTTTTCTAGGTGTGAAAAAGTAAATTTTTCTTGTTGAGGTCAATAGTGATACTTAACAAAGGGTCTCCCTGGACATGTCTTTATGGATATAAACTTGGTACATGCCTCTATCACTGATAAAAAAATCAGCTCGTTTGCTCGAACCGTAATGGAGATATTCAATTTTGTTCTGGGTAAACTGACTTCTGCGCCACCCTGTACTATATGAATACAGTAAAGGCTTCCAGCAAGATAGTTCATAAATAGAGCAAAGCTTACCTGTACAGCATTATACTATCGACGAAAGTTTCTGAAAACGATGGACATATGAATAGTTCGGTCAAATTTGGATAGATCACTTTTGTATCGATTAGCATGTTAATTCTGTGTTAAAGTTGAGCGTGAATAATACTTCAAAGGAATGTCATGTACAAAAAAAAAGAAAAAGGTAATGACGATGAAAAGAACTACATGTCGTATCAAGAAGTTTTTAATAATTTTTGCTTTGTCAACGGAATTTTTAGCAAATCACTTTGACTAAATTGATAGCTATTTTCACTATGAACGCAAAGTTAACTTCTTCGTATAGTAAATAAATCTGAATGATCAAAAGGAGAAGAGTCTTCTTTGGCTTCAAATGCTTTCGTGCATTACAATCCCTAATAAATGAGATCGAATCGAAAATAAATGGGTCGAAATAAAGAGAGTCATTGATTTTTGTGAACTCGATCACTACCCATCGGATTATGAAAAGTATCTGAACAGTCAGAAAATCATCTTTCACCATGAACTGATGGAATCTATTTTATGGATGGAGAATTGGCAAAGATGTCGATTGATCCAATTCTTTGAGACTTTCTTCTTACCTCATTGGTTGATGCACAACTCGAACTCATTTTTTTGTTGATCAAAAACTTTTGTGAACATTGATCAACTAAGTTTTTAAGGTCAATACGAGCTTGTCATCGACAAAAATTGATTTTTACTTTTGTGAGAAGACCAATTGTCGGTCGTTTTCGATGAATACTAGATCATTGCTTAGGTGAATTCAAATATCTTCGACATCCGACACTCTTTCCGTTTAATTAAAAATAAAATTCGTTCAAACGCTAACATATTCTGTTTGTCAATGACAACATTGGGAACTGTCTAATTCCAGTTTTACAATGATAAACTATTTTCAAAGAAGATCTCTATTATTTTCTGATATTGGTGTGATACTTGCCAACAACGAGTTCATGATGGTGCTTGGCGCTGGTTGCATGAACAGATAACTCATCCTGACACATAACAGTAACCATCACAAGGATCATTGAAATATGCTTCACAATATTGAGTACTGATCAGTAAAAGAATCTCATTAAGATATGATTAAACTTGATCTCAGCGAGTGATGAAACTCTTCATTAGAGAAAAAGAAAGAAAATAATCTCAAAATAAGGTAAATCCTTATGATAATGAAACAATGATATTTTCATAAGGCTATTAATCAAAAAATCAAAAAACGTAGATGTTCTTTAAGACTATCACCCAAAAAAAAATAGTAGTCGATTCTCAGGAAAATTTTACGCTTTGAAACGAGTTGTTCAACTAGGAGGAGAATAAAAAGATTAGTCAAAAACTCTAAATTTTACACTTTGAGCTAAGACTGAAACTCGAGTAGAAAAGACAGCTGATTGCATTAGCTTGAAATATTTTAGTGTTTGTCTTGTTGAAACAGGTTTTAATATTGATTCTTTTTTAGTATGCACTTGACGTGATACGATACTAATGTTAGATAGGAATGAAAAATTATTTTTCATATTCTATTATTTTTTCTATTTATTGATTTTTATCGTCTCTTCTATCTGATCGATATAACCGATGAAAAAATTTTTTCCTACATGTTTGAAATTTCGACATGAATAACTTTAAGTCATTGAAAACAGCAATTCAAGTATGTGTGCATATAATATTTAAAAGATATCAATGATCGCTTTAAAACTGTATCATGCATTACCATATAAGTAAAGTATCAGCTTTGAATTATTGTTTTAGGCATAATTATATCTTCCGAGTGCCGTGGAAATCGAAAAAACAAACATTTCAGATATACACTTGTCACATTCTGACAATCTCAAGAAGCTTTCTCCTAATTCGACATAATACATGAGTGCTGAGAACAACTGATTAATTTGAATCGTAACTAATGCATCAATTGACAGAAGAAGATTTTGTCATGGTAACTAGGCAGCTGAAGAGCAGTAAATCGTCTGCTGCACTTTGTGATGTCAGTCATCTTAATAAAATTATCTTTCAATTTAAAACCCAACATGATCTGAAAGAAAATATATAATAATTGTGTGATGTCTCTTGTTTATTAATGTTCATTTATTTCAATTATAAGAATAAAAACAAAATTAAAAAGATTATTTCGTAAATATTTGTTGATTATTAAGGAGTAAGAGAATTTGATGTCATCGTAATGGTCGTACTAGAGTTTTTTGCTGATCGATCTATTTTTTGTTATTTATTTCCCATTGTTCTAATGTTTGTAATAGATTCGATGGAATTTTATCATTAAATTGATGCCATTGAGGAGGATCTAATGATAAATTATATTTAAAATGATTCCAAAATTTTCGATGATAAATATTTGGTTGAGCAAAAAATCTTGCACTAAATCCTTTAAAAATATAAATCCAAGAATAACCGCGAATAAATATATCACGAATTACAGATGCACGAATACGAATACGAAGAAATGGACGATTCTCAGGCATATAATCAAGAAAAACTGGATTTAAATCAAGAAAATCGACATAATATTCTCGAAGAATCTGAGAAAAATCATTAGTTGTTTCAATAATATGTAAAATAAGATCATAATTATAAAATAATGCCCATTCAAAATATTGTTTAATTCCTTTCATTGATTTTAATGGTTCAAAATCTAAACTTTTATCTAATTGATAAATATAAGGTTGGAAATTCCATGATTTTTTCAAATAATTCTCTAAAGGCTTTAATGGTTCATCTGCTAGTTTAGTTCCAACATCATATTTTCCTCCAGGAAATGGACACCATGTTTTCAAGAAAGGAAAACGTGATTTTAATATGTGAGCAACATTTGAAGGATTATTCTTCCAATTAAGATGGCAAATTTGTTCGCCATCAGGTCCCATTTCAATAAAATATCCTCCAATAGGAATCCATAGTGTAGGATTACTTAATTGAATAAATTTAGTTATTTCTTTAATAAAAATTTCATCTTTTGTTTTAGCTATTTCAAATACTTTTTCTTCACCATATTGTTCTATAAAACACGATGGAAAAGCATTTTTATTTGAAGTAAAATCAGTTAATAAAACATCAACAGAATAAGGTAAATAATCTCCGTTAGGACTTGAACAATCGATTAAATTTAAAATTTTATAACCTTTATATTCAAATAAAAGAAGAGTATCAATATGTGGATGTTTATGATCAGATAATATCATAAAACGAGATTCTTTTAGTTTAAAATCTTTCCAAATACCAAATTGAATTTTCTTAACATTAACAAATCCTAATTGTTCAATTTGATTTTTAAATAAATTTAACATTAATTCTGGAATATAAATATAAATATTTGGATTTATTTTGGCAATACGTCTCAATGTTGGTAAATTAAAATGATCTGGAGAATATTTTGAAATAAAAATACCATCAGCATTTGCAATTCTATTAAAATAATTATCATCAACTTCATACAATAGCCACCAACTTCGCCCATAACACGGACCTGTTAACCAAGGATCAACTATTAATCTCATTCCATTAGCGTTTATCTCGACACAACCATGACTTAAAAAACATATTGTCAATTCATCGCATTTTAAATCTTGTTTTTCTTCAAAATCTACTGTCCATGGTTCATATAACAATGGTTCTAATATGAAACTCTTCGAAAATCACCTCATTCATTTTATGGCAATTTTGAGTCTTCTTTCGAATTACCCTTCTGGTCGCCTAATCATGAGTCAAGTCCTCCAAGAAATTCATTTACCTAAAGAGAGAGATTCTCGCAGTATTAATATTGCATAGTGATATGATCCAACATACTAGATTTATAAAATAATATCATACAACTTAGATAATAAAAGTATGTTGTTTCAAATTTGGTCACTATTGTTGCTTGAAATAGATAAAAACTTTTGATTTTTACTTAACTCACTTAATATATATTCATATTATTTCACTCTGGGTATGATGCGCATTAATTCTTAAAATCTCCATTGTCTCAATAGATGAAATTAAAAGTAAACAAAAAAGAAAAGTCAAACATCTATTTTAACCAGTTAATTAGACAAAAAGCTTGTTTCTATTGAATATTCGCAAAGAAAAAGCATGCAATCAAGTCATGACTAACTTCTTTTAGTGATTAACAAGTCTTAATCTAGATTGAAGAGTGTGTGGAAACAAAAATGGTAGCATAGTAGAATCAAGACAAAACTTATTATATGAAAAAAAAAAATAAAGAAAAAATCATTAATGATACATATAAGAATATCTAACATTGTTTAAGTTCTGAGTGCAAGTATGGCAGAAGAGAAGACTCACACATCCACATTCTAATACTCACTCTTAAAACAAGCTACCTAAACTGATTCTCTTACTCGGGTTTTCTTCGTTACGGAAATTTTTCCAAAAATGGACAAAAAAGTCTGCATTATGGAAACATGCGAAAATAGATATAGTAAGAGTATCAATGTAGATATATCAATTTCAGAGTAAATATTGGGGCATCAGTGTGTGGGTCTTTCCTTCAGTTCTACCCCCACTCTGGATCTAAAGCATTTAAAATACTCCTATATGTGTCATTGATCATTATTGATATTTTTATGATCCTTGCAAGTTCTGCCTGTTTGATCAAATAATTACGAAATAGCCCTTATGATTACTTCCCCATCATCTTTTTTCTCAACTATTAATTGTTTTTGTTTAAGACAATCGGCTGGCTTAATATATTCTAGTGTTTTAACATTTAATTTCCATCCATGATAAATACATCGAACTATTTCTGGTGAATCTTCAATATCATGAACAAAATTTCCTCCAGCATGACGACATAAATTGCGACAAACAATTAAACTGTTATCTTGATCTTGATAAATTAAAAGACGAACTATTTCTGAATTAGTTTTGTTTTGATCATGAGAAGAAACATTAATAAAATTTAATCCGATTTTTAAATTTTGAACAATTGCTAAAGATAAATGACATATAATACGATATGGTATCGGACTTGATGATATGTAATAAGGTAAAGACATTATACAAATGATTTTGTAAGAATATATATTTTCATCTAAATATAAAATATTTCTAATAATTAGTTTTTTTAAGACTAATTATTCGATCGACGATTATTATACATCTTTCTCGTAGATAAATATTCTCTTTCGACATATATTTTAGTTGTTTATTATCGTATCCAACTTGAATAATTGTTGGAAATGATTGACGTGATATATAGAGACAAGAAACAAATAATATGTAAATCTTTGTTAATTATCAATACGGGTGAAAGAATTTCTATGCTTTGACAAGAATTCATATTGACGACCTCATACTAATGAACTCAAATATTGACGAACCTTGTCTGAGTCTCATTTCCAAACAATATATTTACTTCTGAAATTTGATTTTTCTCACGGTTGATTTATTATAATCATATAGAAAATCTTTTCCATAAAGAAAACACGCTTGGAATATATTTTGTTAGAAAATATGAGTGATACCACGATAAAGAGAGAGAGAACTATTACGTCGTCTTTTTCTATTGTTTGATCATAATAAGAATGTGAAGTGTCACCAGATTTTTGTTCTAATGATGTGACTGATTGACCAAAAAAAAACGAAAAAAAGGAGACTAAAACAGCAGCTGATGCCATCTATTTGCTTTGTGCACTTATCAACCTTATCAAATATTGATTAACTATAATAAAAAAAAACATTGATAAGAAAATAAAATATCAAATAAGCATGTGATGCACTCTAATAGAGAAGAAAATTCGATAGTCAACGTTCGTTTAACATTAATAAGAAAATAATGTGGATTCTTTTATTAATTTCTCTATTGAGTTAATATTTGTTTTTAAATATCGTTTTTGATTAACTTCATGAAATATGTACATCTTTGATGACATTATTGAAATAGAGAATATTTTTATTATATAACAAATAGACAAACATCATATTTTCCCGGATTGTCATAAAATGCGTATGTTTTTCCACAGAGACTTTCACAAATGCTCAATATATACCAGTCGATTTCAATAGATCATTTGTAAAGTTTTCAAAATTTATTGTCACAATATTCTATTACGTTTCAAATATTTCATTCGGTTAATATAAAGACAAGAATTTTCAACTGGTATCGACAATGATGACTTACGAGATTTTTTAATAATAGTCATTACGATACATAAACGATCGCAATTATTATAAAAAGATTGAAAAAAACAAAGAAAAATATCGAACAACTTTAGGGATATCGCTAACGAAATTAGTTATTGTTTGTCTGGTATTCGATACTATTTAGCACATAGACTTCATTATCTATCAAATATAACTAGTAAGAGAGTAAAAAGAAAATTTATTAATGTTCAGTCGCTGCTAAGCCTTCTTCTCAAGAAAACTAAAATTTAAAATTTAAAATAACTTTAAATTTTCTTTATGGAACTGTGAACATCTTTAGATGGACACACGAATGCAATTATTCATATGAATGCCAATGATTAATTTTTTGAAAACAACTGTATTTTGAAGTATTTATCAGAAGAACACTTTACCAATACACTTATAAGCAAGTGAAAAGATGCTTTGGTACGCTCAACTAGTGAAATGTCCTCAAAATGAATATATAACATGTATAACAAAATAATTTATCTTTCTGTCATATTCAGATTCATTTACAATCATATACTTAATTTGACGCAATAATCTTGATGTAACAGAACAAGTTCATGACTAGCATTGAATATCACAGTTAATTTATTGACATAGTTTTCTTCTACTCGTTTTCAATCAAATAAAACAGGTAAAGCGAAAGTCTAAGTGAAGTATCAGTTGGAATATCAGTTACCAATATTGATTAAATATTGAACAGAATTTTTTCTTACAAACAATGTTATTGTTAAAACATTTAGGAACTTGGCTATTACTTTCATTATTTCGCTACTCAACCAAGACAGACTTAATTTGTTTTTTTTCTGTTATCTCCACTAAAAAAGCAAATTTATTCATTTGATCATATTTCTATGCGCAAAGCCTGTGCCGCTATTAATCGTATATTTTTCTGCATCAAATGGATTGGAGCAGAGTTTTGTAGTGAAATAAATCAATTATACTGCATGCTCGGTACAATGAGTTGGTTATGGTGACGGTGCCACTATCACAGCTAAGTGCGAGTGTAACATTGTTGCCCCCTATCAAAATCCACCCCTTATAGCCATTTGTACGAGCAGTACCTGAGAATGTGGTAGAACCACCACATCTGCTACTCACACTGGACTTAACTGAATAGGTACCAAACAAAGTGTCTTTCATTACCACGTTTCCGCTTAAACAGCAGCAAGACGATGTGCTACACGACGAATTGGCCGTGTAAGTACCGACCCATGTTTGTGACTGAACTGCACCGACGACAGATGCTATCAGAAGAAAAATCAATGTTGGCTGCACATTTCTTTGTGTTATTGTTTTTGATAAGGATGCGTGAATGTCAAGTAACTAGATGTGTTTGATGCTGCCCATGACTTTTATATACCACTTTGTCCGGCCACATAATACATGCCAGACTTGAAACTTAAATTCAATTATTGAATACTTGAAACTTGAAAACTTGAATATCCACTATTCAAGCAAGCATGTATTCAAGCATCCAACTATTCAAGCATTCAACGATTCAAGTATTCAACTATTAAACCATTTAGCTATTCAAGCTTTCACATAACGACAATTCGACTTTTCAACTATTCAAGTTTCAACTATTTCAGGTTTCGTAAGCTTGGGGTGTGGGTGCCGTAGAGCTGTGGCTGACAGACGCGCACAACAGCACACTAGATGTCAATAATGGAATGATTGAATACTGGAATAGCTGAAACTTCAAAGCTTGAAAAGGTCGGTGTGCGTGCATGTGGGTGAGAATGTAGATGTAGGTGTGGCTAGACTAAGAGAACACTCGTACACATCCGCACCATTATCCAGAAAAAAAAGTATTTTAATTTTAATATCATGCACGACGAAGTCTGAGTAACAGCATATGGATGCTTCCAAGCAGGGTCTCCCAAATCTACATCGACATTCAGTCGGCAATTTCTTAGTATATCGGTTGTGTAGAGCTTGTCAAGTTGTGTAAGAATCTATATTTTGTTTTGATTAAGACCGTGCGGTTGGGCTGGAAACCGAGCTGACAAA